TGGAAAAGGCTCGGCTGTTTTAACGTTGCTCTCTTTCTTCACAGGATCATCAGGAGGACGGAAGTCGAAGACGGGGAAGTGAGGGAAGACGTGTATGAAGAATACTGAGGAGGAAGACATCCGCAAGAGTTTATTAAGGAGGGCTTTGAGAAGGAAGCAACTTACCGAGTGTGAATTCCTCTCAGTCCTCCTTATGCGCCCATCTGCCTTCCTGCCTACCCTTAAAACTGCCATCACTCCACTACCAACACTACTCCACTGTCAACGCCACGACCTGTATTGTCTTTCCGGGTCCTCCAACATATCCATAATAAGGATTTTATTGTGAGGCCTTAAGTTATCCTCACATACATGTCCATTGATCCGCTCTTCAGTCCCAGTTGTAATAGATGGCTTTACCCTACACATATAGTCCACCTAACTTACATTTTGTTTCTGATATCTGGAGAACACTATCCTCTAGTACCAATAGGGAATTTTTGAAGAAAAGGTCAGTGGTTCAACTGTAGTCTATGACATGTCGGTTGTCAGAGGATCTAGTCAGGACCGATAACGCTCGAGAGAAATTAAAGATTTTTTAATGTTATGAGTGAGAAATTTTAATGTTTGTGACCTTTTATTGTAATAACATGATCAAGTAGTGTTGTCAGCTAAAATGTCCTTTATTCATTTATGAGTTACATCATATAATTTCATTGAAAGCCATTTTTGAAAGATGTCCACGAATGATCACACATTTGTAAAGGTGCACACACCCTATTTGAGCTGTCAAGGTGTTTTTAGGTTAAGTGCCGTTCTCCCTGTGACGTGGCGTGTTTCATCCTAGTATGACACTGATTAATATTGTTAAGAATACTTATTGCCGAAGACATGTCATGTATTATAACTAAACCTGTAGCCACGGGACGAGACATAGGAGGTTTCAATAGCAGCTATGTAATCATTTTACTATTCCGGCTCTTAGATTGGTAGAGTGTTACTATTGTGGCTTATGAAACATCCAGTTATGGGCATGTTGAATGTAAGATAGCTATAATATTTCCACATAAGATTCGTGTAACACACCCACAAAATATATCTCATTTGTAAACAACTTGTGGCGAGATTGATTACTGCGAGCCTGGGATGGGGTCTAAATATGGCTTAAATAGGAAAGTAAACTGTATAGTCACCTAGCATAAAGGTCAAAATCGCAGCTTTCGTCATACTTGTTACCCTCATGGTCATAAGTGGATGAAAAAAAAATATGATAATGCCTTAGCACCTATTCCTAGATACTCTCTGGCCATCAGTTGTTATTATCTTTCATTCTTTTGAGTTGGTCTTGACTTAGGCTGGACCAAGTGACAGGGAAGAGGCCTGCCCTGTGTTAGTATCTCAAAGGCCTGTTCCCAGTCCTCCGGGTTTAATTCAAGACTTGGTAGCTCCGAATATTGTGGTCACTTATCAAGTTTTCAATAAATGCTTAATGTGAGTTCTTTTGTATTATTAGCAGCACCCTATATTTTTCTTAACCGATTGAAAAAACATGTTTGTTTTAATGAAAGTTTTCTTGGCTGTGAGCAAATAATTTTGTAATTTAAAATAATTACTTGTAAGTCATTCATCAGATGATTCACATGTGTTATTTTGTATGACACACTGACTTAGAAGATGACATTCCTGTTTAGTATCACATGTCTAGATTAGTTATGAACGAAATAATGGTTAAATTAAACAAGACAATGATAATTGATAATTTAATGTATTTCTATATATTATTAATATACAGGTAATACAGGTATTTAACAGGGTATATATATCAGTAGGAAGCATATATATGGAGTAAATATAAAACATGGACTGGCCTTAGAAATGCCATGAATGGTCCGCAATTATAAACCTCTCTATAAAATACAATGAATGGAATTTGAATGCATTTTCAAAATGACACCTTCGAAATAATATTTGATACCAGCCGATCAGTTTGGTTTTCCATAAGATAACTACGGGCTTTGGCTGTAGAAATTGTTACAAAGTCTTACGCATCCCATTGAAAAGGCCTAGTTCATGATAGACTCTTGGTTCCTTTGTATAAAAAAATGTATATTATTTCCTATAATAAACCAAGTAAAAAAGGTTTCGAGAGAAGTAAATACCAATAAAAGGTATTGTTTGAGATAACATGGCGCAGAAGCATCAGATCAGACAGGTTCGTAAGAATCAGCGACAACCAAACAAAAGACAAACAATATCTCTGAACCAACAGGAAAGCACAACGAAAGTGTAAAGAAGAGAAAGTCAGTTAAAAAGAGAACATCTCCACTAGTAACATGCAATAACGACAGAATTGTGGTGTGCAGTCACAAATGTCACGTCTGCAAAACATTCAGAAATGCAATGAAAGTGATACGATGGTAAATTACGAAAAATGGCAGAATGATGTCAAAGGATACTAAGGTAATGTGAATGAAGAGATTTTAAGATTCAATGTAGCCGTAAGATTCCATGAAACCACTGAAGAAAATAATAAAACAAACACTTTTTAGTAAGTAGTGAATTGTTGCCCTAAAACATCCTCCATGTAGATAGCTAATCGAACCAGAATACCGATTTTTTAATGAGGAAAGAGAATATGCAAAAGATATTTGTCCATGCATACTTCAAAAGATTGAAGTATGTGAGAGATACGAAAAAGTCAATATAGATAATCGGTGAAGAAAAGTTATGACCTCTTCCAACCGGTTTAGAAAGTGTTATAGGCAGTGCTTGTCATATTGTTTATGTATGTGCTTTTGTTAGTTTCAAGAATGATAATAATTAACGCATAGATCTTAAGGGTGTTGACGTTGCATTTTTTTTATCTCAATAATCAAGAAACAAAAATAATAGATCTGATTTACATAAGAAACGCATGTTTGTTATTTTACTAAAAGGATAAAACATTGTTGAAAGGTCATTAGCATTTCCAGAATAGGTTCAACTGAATCTCAGTTAATGGCGTGACTAGGGACCTCATTTCTATATATTTATGATTAACTCTCCCATACTCACGGATCCCGAACAGTATTTTTTTTTAGGAAATATGAATGTCAAAGAGTTCACTGGAGAGACAGAAGCAGCCACCTGACCTCTACTATTTTTTGCTGAGAGTGATTGGAATAATGTTTCATAGCAGCATCAACAGTGGTTTGTTCCTTCAGATTACTCCGCGGCATTAGATTTACATTGAATTTCTTTCAGGAAACAACCTGAAAATATTTTTCGATGTTAAACCCGTTACGTGAAGGCCTAGGGAAATGGCCGATTTGTTCGATGATTATTATCATTGATATGAAACAGGAGAAGTCAAATAGAATCCACGTGAGGATGTTCATGGAGATTCGCTTGCCAAGTCCATCTTGGAGGTAATAAAGGTCCCATGATCTTTGAAAATGCAAGTCATCTGCAAAATTCTGAAGCACTGACTTGATACTCAGACTAATTCCTTGTGCCACTGGGTGATAAACGACTGTATTGTTTCATGAGGTAGTTTTTCTCTTTAGTTGTAATCTTGAGTTTGTCTTCGAGTCTTCTGATAAGAGAGCCTCGAGCTTTACCGAGAGATATATAATAAGTTGCCAGGAGAACCACCACGACTAGAAGAACCACTGCTGTAGCAATGTCGTCCAGCGTGAACAGCACAACTCTGAAGGATAAAGTAGTGTTAATAATTTAGGGTATACTTTTCTTCTGAATTTTGGTTGTGTTCGCAATAAATCCTGTTACCTTTGATAAACTAGAAAATTTACATGGAATATTAAATAGTTTTCATCTCATGATGATATCAGTTATCATAAATGTCCTGTCATAAACAGTCTAATACTCCTGAAGATTGATTTACACACCTTATCCAGCTGTCAGACGAACTTTCCAAATGACAGATGTAGTAGGTCAAGGCTTCCCAGGCGTAGTCTAGACCTCTGAAGGGCGAGCAAGCCAGCGACGGCTTGATGAGCAGTAGAGCCAAGCCGGTGGACACGACGCACATGAAGAGGGCGAGAGAGAGAATAGTCATGAACATGGCCGAGGAGCGTGAGGCCCGGAACACTCTGTTTGCCGGAAAGCAGGTCACGGTGACAGTGAACAGCTTCAGGAGGAACATGTAGCAGAAATTGATCAGAACAGCACCCGCTAGCAGAGGCGCGTAGATAATCCCGATCCAACAGAGCGTCTGTGCGTACACTACATCCAGAACGTGTCCGGGCACATAGAACTCTAGTCGCCCGACCGTTTTGCAAATCTTGTTGTCGAACCTCCAGAGTCCCCGCCGAGCCACGTTGACGACGAAGGTCATGCCGAAATCAATGATGGCGTTGAGCACCAACACGGAGTAGACCTGCTGCCCCATGCGTGTCTCCCAGCAGATGTATTCGTTTTCTATTTCGCAGTTTCGGTCCTCGGAGGATATGACACTTAGGGTAGTAATGACGAGGATGCCTAAGGACGTGAGCCTAACTAACACGCACCGACCGAGTGTAAGTAAAAGTTCGTGTCTCCCGGTGTAATGTTCGAATTTTACCACAAAGTCAAAAAGTAGAGGGTAGACAAAATTGAAAACCGACACCAGAATAGTTGGGGCATACTCCCACAAAAACTGTTCAAATTCAGTGCCAGTCACATGATTTTGCTGCTCAATAACCATGAAATATATTGCGACCCAACCGCCAATGATCAGTGAAAGGGTTATAACATTGACAATAAAACGGATTAGGTAGATTTTGATGAAATCTCTGCTCGTGAGACTCATTTGCTTACTCATGTAGTCGACGTCATCAAAGGCTGTTCTTACTTCGCACACTACGAGATTCCTTTCGATTTCTGCGGCGTCTTCCTCGCTCACCGTGAAGTCCCAGCCGGTGAAGACTATCTTCGAGAAGGTCATACCGTAGTCTGCCTGGGAGACAGAGGACTGACGCAGGAACTTGGCGACGAAATAAACTACGTACACGATGGAGATGAAATAGACCACGAGTATCGTG